TCGAAGCTGTAGTGCAGGGCAAAGCAAAAAACACAATATGTTGAGAGCATGCTTCATGGTGGCTTTGCGCAAACCTTCTAGCAGCAGGCTTGCTATGGTTGTTTGCGACATACAATATTTTCCCTGAGCTAGTATGGGCTACTGCGTGCCGAAAGCTGTGCTGCATTGAGCCAAAAGTCATCACATGAACCGGTTGCCGAATGGGTAGCACATTCCCCGTGTATTAACAGGGGACTGTCCACTGGCGTTGGCGGATCGCGTAGCGATTTGAATAACGAGAGGTGTCTCAAGCCTTCTTAAAGCACCCCTGGGTCCTGCATGTTGCTTGCACACGGCTCCCTGCAAGGTGCTTTCTTGAGAAGATTGAGGAAGACCACGAAAGTGGATTCAGATATGCAGATCGGATGCCTTGGAAGTGTGTTTCTGTCCAAGTCCACGCTTGAGGGGGCGGGGGGAGTGGACCAGGGAGGTTCCAGCCTGGGAAGGGGAAGGGGGAAGGGGGGGGGGGCTAAATAATTAATTCTTGCAATCTTTTGGCTCAAATAATCGCTTACGCAAGGAGAAGCTTCAGCTAGCTAAAGCCAGCTTTCGTGATATGTAACGGTGTATGTATATTTGCACATGCAATGGAAACTTGGAACCAACCACCACCTAAATGCTTGATCAGTTCGGACGTCGAAAAGTATGGTCACTCTTGCAGGCATCCCTACCTGCAATGTGCTCCTGTTTGGATTTTGGGACATCTCCCATATCGTCAGCAAGTCCAGCCAAGCGACATGGGGTCACCCGGGCAAAGAAACAGCTTGCTCATGCATACGCTGGGCGGAATAGCCCGAAATAGGGGCCGAGAGGGGGGGCAATTTGGCAGGAGTAGATCACCTCTGAGGCCTGCACTTTTTGCAAGCTGCAATAGGCAGTGATGTCAATGAGTCAATGTCGTGCGCATTGCTCTGCGCCATGCCAGAGAAAGACCTCTGAGACACTGGCACAGCAATTTTTGCAAAGCTTAGTAGCTGCTCCTTGCAGAGCCTCGCGCAGCCCTTCTGGCTGAGCAGGTTAAAGCAGGTCAAGGTCTAAGCATAAACTTGCATCGAATTACTGCCATTGCCAGCCAGTGCTGGTTTCACAGAAACAACGCTGGGGCCAGTAGACCGCATGCGGCCAGGCTTGCCATTGGGGAGTACCTCATGCCCGCAGAGGTGATGGATGCGGGGCCGCCGTTGCCGTCGCACCATTGGCAACTGCTGCGTGGCACCGAGCGGCACACGCCACAATTCACCAGGCCAGAGGCCGCACTTCCTGAGGAGCCGCCCGAAGAGACCGCCGGCGAGCTGTCGATCTTGGCGGGGCCGCCTTGGCCGTTGCACCACTGGCAGACACCTGAGCTCACGCACTTGCACACGCCGCAGTCCACCGCCCCTGCCACACCGCAAGAGGCCATGGATCGGCCCCGCAGTGTGCCGTTGGTGCTGTTGCTCGCCAAAGCCTGGGTGAAGGTCAGGGCCAGGAGCAGGAACTTAGTCATGGCGTGCGAGGGCGAAAGGGCGCGAGCTGGGCACGGCAATGAACAAAATTGTGAACTGCCCAGAGCCAGCATGCCGAAAGGCAAGCGCTCACAGCAAGTCGGCTTGCCACTCAGCTGGCCCGGCCCCCCTTCCATTTGCATGTGAAAACGCTTGCTTAGTTGGACGACTGGTCACCTGTTGCCACGGTTGTCCAGCATAGAGTAGAGAACATGGGTCATGGGTATGAAACCTGAGTGCATCTGTCTTGAACATGGCCTGACAATGACCCCAGCCAAACCACTTGCAGGGCTAAAGCCAAAATGTTTCAACCTTGCCACCCCTTCACTCAGTCCCTCCACGCCCAGGTGCACGCCATCGTGGAAGGTCAAGCTGAGTCGCCAAACAAGTGAAGGTTCACTATACATTTTGACCCGTTTGTCGAGGAAATTAGGTACCGGCATCGGGCAACTGCTTCGCTCAGCACCTTTTGCTGAAATCGCAAAATGACCCCAGAAGACCTCCAAAGGCTGGTTGACAATTGTGACTTTCTTGGCTTGGGTTAGAATGAGAACGTGTGCGTCACAGCAACCGTCCAACACTTGTCAAAGAGCGTGCCTCATGTGCCTCTTAGTAAGGCTTCGAAAGACAGCAGCGTACAATTGCGTTGGACGTTCTGCCCAGAAAGGCCTGCGTGCAACGACACACAGGTATAAGCCAACCATCTAGATGCTTGATGTACTCAAACCTCAATGCAAAACAGGCTCGCGCTTGCAGAAATTGGAAGGGCCGTGTGTCATCTCGGAGGCCTGCGCCTTTTGTAACTTCGCAGGCTACGAGAATGTCGTGTGCATTGCCCTGCACTATACAGAAAGACCTCTCAAGGCTTAGCAACCACTGCTCCATGCAGATCCCTGCGCAGCCCTTCTGGCTGAGCAGGCTAGGGCAGGTCTAGGTCTAAGCATACACTTGCATCGAATTACTGCCATTGCCAGCCAGTGCTGGTTTCACAGAAAAAACGCTGGGGCCAGCAGACCGCATGCGGCCAGGCTTGTCATTGGGGAGCATCTCATGCCCGCAGAGGTGATGGATGCCGGGCCGCCCTTGCCATCGCACCACTGGCAAGTGCTGCGTGGCACCGAGCGGCACACACCGCAATTCACAAAACTTCCTGAGGAGCCACTTGAAGAGACCTGGGCGGGGTTTCTGCACCACTCACAGACTCCTGAGCTCACGCACTTGCACACGCCGCAGTCCACTGCCCCGGCCACACCGCAAGAGGCCATGGATCGGCCCCGCAGTGTGCCGTTGGTGCTGTTGCTCGCCAAAGCCTGGGTGAAGGTCAGGGCCAGGAGCAAGAACTTGGTCATGGCGTGCGAGGGCGAAAGGCTGTTCCACTCCAGTTCAGCGCAAGGTGTTGTTCATTTCATTGCTGAGCGCATCTTGCCACCTTCGCCCGAGACAGCATATTACAACCAGTTGCATGGAACGTAGACAATTCCACGAACAAGCCTGTTGAATTGCTTAGCTGAATGCCGTATTGTCAACCAACTATTGCGTTGCCACATGAAGGCATGCAATGACATGCTCATGCTGCCAATCTTTAAGACGGTGATGTCAGTGATGTCGTTTCGGCACCTCAAAGTCTGTCGAGTGTTCCCTCTCCGAAATTGTATAAATGTTGAGCAAATGAGCGGTCGTCCTTTAATTTCCAAATCTGACAGCACCTTGGCTGGGTGTCCTCGAGCAACTGATACACCATGTTTTCACCCCATGAGACACCTTCCTCCAACCTGTTCCCGAGACAATGAATTCGGTCGGCCCCCAATGCCCAGAAAGGCCTGGAAGCTTTTTTTGGGAACACGCCACCTCGAGGCTTGGGCAAATCCCTCCCAAAATTGTAAATAAGCCCCGTAATCTGTTGTTTGCCTCCGATTCCGTCCGGAGATTCAGCTGAATTCAATTTAAAGCTGCAGTTGACAATTGCAATATTGATTCACTGCGAATTGAAAAACTGTGAAAGTTGGTAATTACGCGCAAGTGGTGATGTTGGTTGCTGTGCCCTGAAAGGCTGACTCCCAAATGAATGGGAACTAAAGCGGTCAAAGATCCGGGGCCTCAGCAAACGACATCGAAACACTGGGTCGTCCTCGCCGGCAACATGCAGATGGGGAAGTAGTCAAAGACCAGGAGCTATATTCAGTACATAAGCTGCCAATCCAAAAAGGAACGCATGTGTAGTCATCCTCTCGTAGGGGGTAGGACGAGACATGCATCATTAAAGTGAAGGGCGTTCATCCGTCAACTCACGTGACCCAAGACTCAGCTACGGAGTAAATGCCAAGTGCCGATGCTAAGACAGTCTGCGGAATGAGCCAAACAAGTGGTTCAGTACGCTCCAAGTGTTGACTTCAGAAGTTTGCATTGCTTCGCTTGCTTTGTCACTTGCGCGCGTCTCACAGGGTAACTCAAACGGCTGCACCTTTTCTGAACCACAGTGGGCTAGGACGTTGCGGATGTCGGGGCGCGCGGTTCTGACCCATGCCAAAGGTGGAGACAGAGCTCCGCAACAAAAGTCTGAGCTCCTGGCACATCTCTTTTGGCTGGCCGTGGAGCATTAAGTGCTTGCATCGAATTAATTGCCGGGCGTTGCCGGTTTCACACAGCCAGGGCCACTGCAGCCAATGCAGCCAGGCCCATTGGCGAGTGCCTCAAAGCCAGGGAGGTGACTGCAGAGCCCCCAGAAGAACCTCCGCTGGAGGAGCCTTCGGAGCCTCCGGTGGAGATTGCGTTGGAGCCTGAAGAACCTCCAGAGCTTCCGGTAGACCCGGTGCCAGAAGTTCCGGAGCTGCTGGAGATGGATGCTGGGCCGCCCATGCCATCGCACCACTGGCAAGTGCTACGTGGGACGAGGACGCAAACACCGCAGTTCACGAGGTCAGAAGTGCCAGAGGCCGCCCCCGCTGAGGCGGCTGGCACCGGCGAGCTGTCAACTGCAGCAGGGCCGCCCATGCCATTGCACCACTGGCAAACGCCTTGGCTCACGCACTTGCACACGCCGCAGTCCACTGCCCCGGCCACACCGCAGGAGGCCATGGATCGGCCACGGAGGGTGCTGTTGGTGTCATTGCTCGCCACCTGGGTGAAGGTCAGCGCCAGGAGCAGGAACTTGGTCATGGCGTGCGAGGGCGAAAGGGTGCAATGTCGGCACGGAAACGGGCAAAACCAACCAAATGCTCAGAGCCAAGCCGCAACATGCAGGTCAACATTGGGCCTCTCGACTGGTGCCGGCCATCAAAGTTGACCTGGATGGACTGATCTCTTGAGAGCTGCGACAAGCGCCAACTTCAATCAGCTACCGGCGTGGGGGAAACTGCTTCATTTCGGGCGCCCAGGCCGCCCCAGCTACTAACCCTGCCAAACATCCACCCAACAAACAAGTTTCCTCTGTGAACTTGCTTAGCTCCGCGGGCATAGCGCAAACCCCAGATCCATCGCCTCGAAGCGGCGCTCGGCCTCTTCCAACAGCAGCGACATGGCCTAGGGTCTGGCTCAAACCGGAAAGGCAAGGAGGGCAAGCCAGGTATGAGTGGTTCCAACGGCATGCCAGAAAAAGGTAGGTTTAGAGATGACTCCTCGCAATGCATGACCACAAACAAGCACTTGCAAGACCACCAACTAACACTAGCTGTCATAGAACAAACATCTCTTGGGCCTCGCACTGCCGCACTGCCCACTTCTGATCAATATTGCACGAATAAAATTTCGAGACAACAACTAACCACGATCAGTCTCACAAACGCACAGCACGCTCCAAATGCTTCTTGGCTGGGCATGTGCGCGCACACCGCACGGTACTGTCCTGAATCTAACAGGCTCTCGGATCGCACATCTCGAAAGAGCCGAGCAAAAAACACGCACTGTGAAATGAAGCCAAAGGCTTCGGCTGCCTTCAAGCAAAGGCAGCAGCCTCAGCAACAGCGCAAATGGAATAAGTCACCTGTTCCATGCACAACTTCCACGAGCTGACGTTTTGCCTGGAGGCAACTCAAAATGCGCCTGCTCAGTAGTTGGAGCAAATGCCACTGAACGTGGCCTTCCTGGCAGCATCGAGAAGCCTTCCCTTGCAATACCCGAGTGAGGAAAGTGATTAAGGTGCCCCACGTCGCATCCCTTGTGCTTTTGACCTCTTGCCTCAACCCTAGCCAACCTCAATGCTGATATTGTGATGCTCCGCGTGGCCAGGTTGAAAGGCAGCCGCGCTGCATGCTTTCCAACGCGTTGCTGTCGGACCCTCTGCAAAAAAGTAAAAACTGCTTGTGGGTTTTGTGGAAAACCCCTTCATTTTCCCAAAAGTTCAAGTCTAAAGATCCAACGCAATAGCAGTCAAGTTATCCAACATCAGAGAACACACGTGTCGCCACGTAAGACTCACATAGTGTCAATTTAAGCTGTCGTGGTTGAGCGGGGTTTTGTGGGTGCGGGCCGCAAAAGCTCTATGAATGGGTGTGCGCGGCCCTTTGGTGGACATCATTTAAGCGGGCTTCATGTCCGCTGACCATAGCCACATCCCCGACGCCGCGAAGCCCCAACGAATTCAGGTGCCGGGACTCCGATCAATGAGTTCGATCCAGTACCCGCTGGGGTCGTAGGCGAAGGCGAGGCCACGCATGTTTCCATCCTGCAAAGTTGCTGCCTCCACAAATCACACATAAATCTTCCGCGTTTTCTATGCGGTTCTGATGCGCGATCCCTCGCTTTACATCTCTCTCGTTGCATTTTGTCAAGACGAAGCTCACTCCGTTGGTAGCATTTTGATAACGCCACCGAATCCTAGCAATGCCGTGGCAAGCAAGCTGGCCAGGCGGAATACTAGTTCTGTCAGCAGCTTGGCGGTCTGCGCTGCACAAGCCCCTCCAGAAAAAAAAATATGCGCTGTGCAGACTGCAGCGCAGCACTTTCAGCAGAAGCCCTTCTCTGCCAGCACAACATGCGCAACCCCCAAAGCCAGGAACTCAAGTTCAACATCATGGCTTCTTGGCCAAGTCTGAACCTCATGCGGGTCCTGTGGCCGCTTCTTGAAGACTACGCCATCCTGCTCCATCTTGGCACAAGAGGTTTCCAAATCATCCACCAAGAAGCCAATGTGACCGAAGCCCTGTGGCTGCGCATTGCCTCGGAGTGCAGCTTTTCCAGTTCTGCAAGGAATCACCTTATGAAGAATTGCCATAGGTTGTTGTAGGCTTGCATAGGGCCTGCAACAACCAGCTTGCAAAAAGGAACCTCAGATCCAACTAGCTTGCTTTTAAATTGTCTGGCCAGCGCTTTGGAAGGAATCCTGGTCTTATTTAAAGTGTTTCTCACTTCTCTTGGCTACTGGCATGTCATCTGCGTTTCATGTTGACAACTGAGAAAATAGGAAACGCATGCAGCAGCTATCGGACTGTAGGAGTCAGGATCTGCCGATCTCCTCTAGGGGGAGGGGCGAGGCTGAGGGTAGCTGAGGGCCACTTCGAGCGCAAGGCAGAAAGCTCAAATCTGGACCAAACAAAACAGGTGGTCAAAGCTGGACCAAAAAAAACAGATGGGCCATGGGTGTCTCGCTTTTTCACGCGGCACCCAAACACAAAAAGAACGTCGACTCGCTTCCGACCAGTCCCTCCCAATTCAAATCCCAGGGGCCGTCGTGGATCTTAAAGTCCGGGTCCTTCTCGGTGCCATGGTTCCAAGTGAGCTCTAGGCACTGGTTCCTCACCCAATGCGCCGCAGCTCACTCAGCAGCATCTTCAGGGACTCCCCAGAGTTCAGAGCGGCCCAAAACGGCCCAACTGGAGATGTTCAATAAGGCTCACTTGCCAAGGACGCTCCAAAGATTCAGCCTGAGAAACTGGCTGGAAGAAACTTGAAGCAATGCTAAAGTGGGCCTTGCCACGCGAGGAGAAGTTTACAACTGAAAATGAAACCAAAGCAACTCCCATCGCCACCTTAGGGAAAACAACAGCATTGTCCCCATTCATTCAGGCCTTGTAGTGCACCCAAGGGAAATATGTAGTTGAGGTTGAGCGAAACCGTTTGCTTATTGGGGCCCACACTGTCCGTCTGTTGGCCTGTTATGCCTCCTCTCGAAGCTCTACAAGATGTCAAGGTCAAATGATATGAATGGAGTCAAAGCCAACCCTTGATGGGGTCCCCTGACTTTTGCCGTCAACCCATGGCGGGGGCTAATCTTCTAAACGGGGTGCCACCGCACATCGAGTTTCCCCAGTCTGTTGGACAAACCGAACCCTTGTGAGGTTTGCCCATATGCGGAGCCCCCACCCAACAAAAAAGGACGGGTTGAATCCACTGAACAGCTGATCCTTCAGCTGAAGTGTGCAAATGGGGTGCACGAAAATCGCTGGTTTCCTTCTGGCTCCCCTGGAACCAACTCTCCTCGAAAAAAAAATAAAACCAACAAAAACTGACTGCTGCGCTTTCTCCTGAGAAATATGCCACGCGATTGGTGAGAAAAATGCCAAGACGCCAGGCGACCTTCGTGAGCGCGTTGGGCGTGTCCGGGTTCAAGCCGCTGCTGTGCTTGTTCTCCGGGTCCAGCGAGCAGCACTCCTGAGAGCTCCGGAAATCAGAAGCGAGGCGCACACGATGCACATGTAGAAATATATGCGGGAGGTGGCCAATGACAATATGAGGGTAGCTAGTGGTATGTAGATATATATATATATACATATATATATATATTTATACGTATGTAGTAGCCAAATGGTGTGTATATATATACGTATATATATATATATATGTATATATCCGAAAACCGGAATTGGGCCTTTGCAGGTTGGTTTCCCTTCGAAAGGCTACCCCAGTCAAATGTTTAGGACAGCGTCAATTCGCCTGGATGTTTGCACCTGGCAAGGGGGCCCTCAGTGTAATCTGAGATGGTGGCAACTTGCTTGCTGGAGCAAACATCCAAGCAGAACAAAACTTGTATGGGCCCTGTATGGGCCTTTGGGCAGCTCATGTTGGCCTATGTGACGGCCTTTTCTGCTAATGCCGTCTGTTGCCGAGGAAAGGGAACAACCCTGAAACCTTGCCTTTGTCACAACGATGAACCGCTCCAACTGGCCAACGTTGGTTCTGGCACTGCTCACCCTTTGGACGGTGCACACAATCATTGTGGTGCAGCTTCATGACCGGTGGCCAATCATTCAGGTGCAATACGTGCGGGCAAAAGTCTCGGGAAAGCTCTTTGCAAGACAATCGATAAGATTTCACCAAGTTTGTTCCGAAGATGGTGTTTTGATTTGGCAAGCAAATGATGTCCTCTGATAACCCATACAGCTGCTCGCTACTGGGATGGGAAAACCGAGAAAGTGGTTCACACATAGGACAGTGCTAGCCGAGTTTCCGCAACTTCAGCCGGCGTCATCGAGGCCAAGAAGAATCTGGTGGCAGTGACACAGAAGCATGCTCTTTGCATATGTCTGGAACATGTCAATTTCAAAGCCCAGCCCGCTTCAAGAGGTATTCCACTCAATCCATTGAAGAGATGGGTTCCTGAGTGAAGCTGTCCTTAGATGTGTGAAAAGTGAAGCCAGGATTCACTCAAGTCAAAGCTTCGGAGAACCGCTACATCAAACGGTCGATCGGCTGCGGAAGCCTGCCCTTCCTTCTTGCAGACCGCTACCCAGTGCAAAAAAAGTGGGACCAAACCATATATCCTAAGCAAAGGGATGTCTGGGCAGTGCTTTGTTGCTTTTGGTGGCCGAGTGGGATCCAGCGTGCGCAGCTGCAGTACTAACAGATCCCTATTTCTTCCTGACAAGAAAGGGGCAAAAGAAAGGGAATAATCAAGTGAATTGGGGCCCAGGTGCCTTCCCATGCCTTCCCTGCAAGCAAAAACGAAACCAAACCATTGGGAGGGGCGTCCCGGGAGATCGATTTCGCCAGGCACTGTATTAGAGTCAATTGGGAGCTCGGTTCATGGCGTGGGTGGCACAGGGGAGGCCAAGAACAGGTGATGTCACGAGTTGAAGCACAAATGAACTAAAGGGCACCAAAGCTTACAAGGACGTGCAAAGCCTCGAGATATTGTATAAGATATTATATAGGTGAATTGCACATTGTCACATTGTATGGGATTTTGTGAGTGGGGCGTCTGGGCAGGGCGTGGCCTTGTGGGGTGTAGGGTTGGTCTTCCAAGATCAGCAAACCCAGCTCATCCAAAAATTCAAAATCCTCCCCCATCGGAAAGTCTATCCCACCAGACGAGAAAAACACTAGACAAAATGGGAAGCCAGTGCTAGTACGGCTAGCTTTGGCAACCTCTGTTCAACGCAACTGGCTGTATGGGGCACCTATTCACTCCATCCAACCAAGAAATCAACCCACGCCAATTGCATACACCTTGCTTGTGTCTGCGCTCTGCTGCAAAAGCATCTGGGCTTGCTTCCTGCATGCCTGGGCACAAGGAGAACTTCCACTGAGGAAAGTCCAACTTTCGGAGCAAAGTCATCCCCAGGTGCTTGGTGTAAAACTCCACGCTGGCAGGCCCGTCTTTCCTCGAACGCTCAATCAAAACTGTCTGGAGGTTTAGTGCAACAAGGTTACGAACAAACCCTGAACCTCCCGTGTATATTAGAGCAACAAGTGCAGGCTGTTCGTCCACGGGACATGTCGGGAGCAAAGGGCCATAAGAAGACATGCAAGGCTAAGGTCTCAATTTGGCTGAACGATGTATTCGCCCGGGCAGGAGGGGAGAGAGGGAGGTAGGGGTGTGCCAAGCAGCACTCGCAGCATGGTCTGCGACAAGTTGAATTGCTCGGGCCAGCCCAAGTTTTCTCGCCGCACCTGGGACCAACAGGAAAATTAAGCTTCCTCATTGGTCAAGCCAAAGCACATGCTTTACTTTGCCTTTTACACCACCACTAATCACTTTATAAAAGGCAAATACAAAACGCATCTCCTGTAAAGGTAGCCCTTGTGCGAAGCAACAGGCAACATCGGCAGCCTAGCAAGCTCTGGCTGCAGCTTAGCAAGCAAAATGCAGCGGACGGAGATGATGAGGGTTGCTATTCTGCGGTTTGCTTAAGCGGGCACAAGTGCGGATTCTTCCGCTGGCTTTCGAGCTAGGATGTCGTGAAACCGAGATCGTTCCATACATCGCAGCTGTTGAACGCATTCCTGTCACTGTCAGAATCAGTAACTACTCTTTGCTCCTGCCAATGCTTCGAACATGTCTCAGCTCAATTCACTGCCAATGGTGCTTCGGTCCCCTTGCAGGGCGATCAAACTTGAAAAACAAACAGAATCCATATGATTGCTGCCGCGTCATAGGCAAGTAAAAGGTGTGTCGTCTTCCAGCCGCGCTGCGAGCTCGATCCAATAGCCGTCGGGGTCCAACGCGAAGGCTAGGCCCTTCATCCTGCACAAAATCACTGTCTCACACGAGCCGAAAGTACGGGTCACATTTCACGGAAAAGATCGCAATAAGTTCACCTGCCCCAGGCCCCAAGCACAGAAACATGGCACAAGCATGTCGCTGACTCAACTGAACGTTCGCGCCTGCCCTCATCCGGTTTTTTCTGGAATTTAACGCCAGCTTGCTCCAGCTTTGCACTGGCAGCATACCTTGGGGAGCGAAAGCTCGAACACAGAGACGCGTTGGCCGATGGGATGGGTCAGAAAAGCTAAAACATTGATCCTGGCTACGGGATTGGCGTCAGGTGGGTAGCTTTGCGAACTCCAAGAAGCGTTTTCATTGCCTCCCTACTTCAGATCATGCTACCAGAAATGAACAGGGCGGATAACGCTGATGGACTCATTGTGCCAGGGCCCACCCAGCAAGTGCAACACCCCCCAGGCCGAACAGAATGGATATGATCAGCTACTGCAAAGCTGCGGCACATGTGGGTCTGGCAGAAAGGGTCTTGCCCTGGTGTACTTCCCTCAGCCCGTCGCATGGATGGGGCGAGAAGCACATCATCGCAGTTGAAGGCGATGTGGCCGAAGCCCCGGGCCGCGGGCTCCTCCGCGAAGTTGGGGCCCTCCCCGGCATCTCGGCCTGTGATGAGCCGAAGCCGTCAGGACAGCAATCTCTTCTGTTGGCTTCAAAGTATAGCGCATGCCATGCAGACAGAAGAAGAAAAACAACATGCTGTCCTGCGCACTGCTGGCTGGCAGTTCCGGTGTTGCACGGTTCGTGTGCTGTACGTTGGCACTGACCAGGATTCAGGATGAATCAGGTATTGACTGCCGCACCAAAAACAAATCTTGATGTATCTGACGGCCGCTTCAACGTAAGTGGGCTGCTCAGGAAGAAATGCAGTCATCCCATTCCAGTGCACAGGTTCAATGCAAAAGATTCAATGCAAAGGCATTATCGTTCTTTCCCGAGGCCAACCCACCATTCACGGCCCTAGCGCTGCAATTTCCTCATTGCTCGCACATCCTCTGAAACTTGATTTAACAACCTCCGTTGTGCGTGGATCTGTCCAAGAAGGAGTTAAGCTGATCCGACAACTGCAGCAAAAGAAAGCGGGTGTGCAAAGCAACAGCTTGCTGCAAGGCCTGCCCGCACTCCCGGCCTGTGTTGCCGTTCCAGACCTTGAAGCTCGCGTCGCTTTCTGCGCCATGGTTGTGGGTCAGCTCTAGCGTAGAACCTGCAAAAGATCTTTGGCCAATCACAAACACTAGCACTTCTGGCAGGCTGACAGCCCACAGCAGCCGATGCTGAGAAAGGAGGACATGCAAGTCCAGGCATTTGGTGTCAACCTGTGAATGTACGTTGCTCTGAATCATTCAGGGCATCCCGGATTACCCATAGGAAGAACGAAGCGATGTGGGCACTTAAAGTCTCTCACTCACTTCACCTTCAAACTTCCTCGGATAATTTCCAGTCTCTTCGGACCTCGCAATTGTAAGAAAGACTAACCCCCAACATGCCCCAGCCTTCCTGCAGTCAAAGCATCGCCAACATTCCCACCCCCCCCCCAAGCCCCCCACACTCCGAAGCACTACGGCTTCAGAAACCACAACCAAAGCATCTCATAGCCCCAGGAACCAACGGAAGGAAGGATCAGCCCAGCTGTGGGGTTCCGTAATCCACCTGAAGTACGGGCTGGGTCACATGTTTGCTAAACTGGCAAACTCAAAAGCAATCCGGCTGATGCACGGTAAGACCAAAACCGCCCCTTTGTGAGCAAGAACATAGTTTTCCAGACCTGCACCAGCAGAATCCACAAAGGCCAGCTTCCATTGCACACTGCCCACTGGCTCCATCCCTTGCTTGGCAATATCTTGCAAACCCCCCTTCAAATGTAAAGTAAGACGTGGCTGTGGCTGGTCAGGTGATTCCTGCATACCTTCAACATTAATTCACATATGCATGCACATATGTATGTGCATATCAACAAGCCCCCTAGTGAGAACAAGTGTTTGCCTGCAAAGCCTCTTTACAGATGCCCCGGTCGACTCCCGCCTGACATGGTCCACAAGTAGCGCTCGTTCTCCACGGAGGTCTTCTGCAAAGTGCACTCTGGCACCTGGCCGGTCGACAAGGATTTCTGAGACGAACAAATTGATTTCCGCGCACTCACATGTATAAATACAGGTTTATAAATATAGATATATATATATATATTGTCACATACGATGTCTATATGCAAGCGGTCAGTACAGTGCAACAAGTGTTTGCGTGGGGGGTATACATATGACGCAACGAGGGCTTTGCTTTGGTTGCTGGATGTGCAAACTTTCATGGGCTACTGCAAGCAAGCTTCGGGTACCAAGCGGAAGCTACCCAGCAGTATCTCAGTTGCAACCAGTCTTGCGAGCAGAAGGCGGGCCTTTTTTGGGGGATGACTACTTTTGGGCAACCAAACAAAGAGGGCTGAGTTGGCAAATGTTCTGGCTGCTCATGTTGCGTACTGAATGTCGACAACCTATGTCGGTCTGCAAGATTTGCTGCCATTCCGCAAACGAAACGGATTTTACTGGATGATTGCGCGGTAAACGTCCGAGAGCCCTTCCTTTCCAAGTGGAACACGGGGGCAGACAGTGTCACCGAGCAACTGGAGTGGGGGTCCACGTTGCTACACATACCATCGCATGCCCTTCGGCCCTGCACCGTGAGCCTGGCAGAAACAAGAACCTCTTTTTGGGGTTGACCATGTCTTGTGGGAAACCCACCAAAAGACAAAACAAACAGAAGAAACATGGTGCCACTGAACAAATTGCAGCTACGTCTTCAAGTCTCCCCACCTTCTGACCGTCCCGTGGGCGCTCCAGGAAGTACACCGTGAACTTCCACTGTGGAAACCTTGGCCCCGCTTCCAGCCACTCATTGACACACGTCGACGTGAGTCTTGGAGAACAAATTCAGCAAACACGAGTCTCCATGCCTAGAGTAACCCAGGCCAATAGAAAGCTGCTCGGCCTTTGATTGTTTTATGTTTTGTGCGTACTCCTCAGAACTCAAGCCTTCCTTGATCTTTGCAAAACAATTGAAGCTGCACGCAGGTCTTCAATGCAACACCGGGCTTGCATGTTTGGATGAAACTGGACATTCCAAAATCTAAACCAAAAAAACACACGCACACACATGAGCCAAACAAAGGCACGGCTTGGAAAATGCCGGTGCGTTACTCCGCACTGGCAGCACATGCCCACCAGCATGTTCAACAGAGCCTCGCACCTAAAAAAGACGCGATGCCAAAGGCTTTACCGTAGCTGAGCCGCCGAGAAAAAGGCCACTCGCAATTGGGCACAAAGCAGATAATCATGGCATAAGCTGCCACCATGTGACACAAACGAACCCTAAACTAGTATGCTGTGGCGTTGCCAGTCTGTGCAGAATCCGAACACAAGACGCATCTGCTGCAAGGTGCTCAATCCAATGGACCAACTTCATCCCGAAGTGCTTCTCGTAGAAGGGCACGGAGACTTTCGGGTCCTGCAGGCTGAACGTGTGGAACCCCAACCCCTTCGCCAGCCCTTAGCGAGTGATTGCATTTATCATTCTGGCAGGCAACCAAGGAAGTCACACTCTGAAAACCACATGGAATCGCTTGGTTGCCTCATAGATGGCCCCGTGGGACCTGCTGGGACGGTGTTAGGAACAGATTTATTTGCCGCCCTCCTTACCCCTCCGTAGCAGCGCCTTGATTCGGAGCATGGTCTGCTGAAAGCGCGCGTGGCAGGGCCCGGAGCCCATGTAGGGCAAGTGTTCCACTTCCTCTTGGTGCAACCAGGCCCCATCCACCTGCCGAGCAAGCGACCCGGTTTTCCGTTTGGATTGGTGCCGATTTAATCCCAAGAACCAGGGGTTCAAAAACAATCAATCCAAATAACCAAATAAGGGCTACTCAGGCGCTGGCGTCCCGAGCAGTTTTCACGCCACGGGAGTTTTGGGATCCACGAATCCACACGAAATAATTTCAACCATGACAATGATTGCAGCATTATTGGTGTGCTTTTGGGTCGTATATTGATGTTTGGACTGCTGGTAATGATCCAAAGAGTTGTTGTGATGTTCTTTGCCACCTTTCTTTGGGGATGGCAATGCGAGAGTTTATTCATATCCCTTTCGGTCTCATGTCGAAATGGCAATGGGTTTCTTTTCGTCTGCTGCAAGTCCACGCTCTTCACGCAAGATTTCGAACATCGCAAGTGTAGCCGTGGCAAATATGCAAGCTCACTCTGCACAAACAGCAGGGACCGCGTGATCCAAATTGAGCCTGTCTTTTTCGCAGGGCACACCAGTACCTGCACGGTGTTCAGAAGGATTCTCTGCGAAGCTTACAGTCAGTTCCGAGAAGAAGGTAGACAGGCCATTCGATTTAGACTTCCACAGTTTCAGCTGCACGGTTGCAGACCGCTTAGAAGTGTGCCATCTTCAAGGGGGCCAGCATACAAATGGGTCACTTTCAAAAAAAGGACCGGCCACCTAAGTGGCCGCAGCAGGCCTTTGTTTCCAGACGGAGGGATACCTAATCCGTAGCCAGTAGTGGGACACCATAACAAGCGCTTCTGGCATAAGGATCAAGGATTGATTTTGACCCCCCGGAACACACCTGAGAGTGTGCCTTCTGTTGGGTGCGGCGCTTTGGTCTCAAAAGGAAGGAGGAAAACCGCAGTAGACCGTTCATTTTCTCTTTGCGGTGCCAGGCGTTGCACGGTCTCCGGCCTTCACCGCATGGCCGTTGCTCTCCTTGACGGTGCCCAAGGCTCCGCTGGCCTTGACCCGCACGTTGTCTCCCGCAAGGAAGCCCATGGTGCCTCTATCACTTGCAGCCGAAACAGCGACGGCAAAAGCACAAAAAAGAAAGAAAAAAACAAAACAACAACTGGAGGGTGTTAACTGTTACAAACCTGCAATTCTGCTGGAAACCTGGTTCCTTGGATGTTGCAGCGGCAACGGGGGGCATGATGGTGATGCCTGCTTAGACTCGCCTTGTTCCACCCCTGTCCATTTCAACACCGATGCGCAACTGCACGATGCCGGCAGCAGCGAAATGGGCGGCATCAACTCAAGACCCTTAAGCACTTGAAATGACAGAAAGGAAGACGCGAACCTCTCTTTCCGCAAGTCCTATCATGCCACAACCTGAAATAAGACGAGATCCGGCATCATGGTGGGCTCAACTTGCCCTCGAGTGCGCTGGCCTAAACAGCAAGGCTGTCCCTATGTTTTAGGCACTAGAGAAAAAACGTCATGGGCACCGGAAAGTTAGCTGCAGCCCAGTCTGGCAGAGAAGCCTGCTGTTTCGCCAGGTCAAGGCAACAAAGCTTTTCAATTCTATGACACACATGACTGAGAAATAATGAAGGTATACTTGTGGCTCTTCGGCAACTCGTTTGTACCCACTATGGCTCTTTGCAGCAAACAGTGGCCACGCCTGCCTTCAAACAACAACCCCGGAAATCACTTGTCTTCGACTCTTGGGACCAAAGCTAAGCATGAACCAAAACAAAAAACAACAACGGCGCTTGCTAAAATGCTCAAAGGCCGGTTTTGGCAACCGAGGCAACACACCTAAACGGTTAACTGCTTGGCCCATGGATTTACTCGGCAAGGCTTGAATCTCCAGGCTCCACACCCGGCTCGAAGCATCAAAGCAAGAGGCCGCACCCGCTCCGAACCGAAACGGGCAGATCGCAGCCAGGAGACGTCTGTGTGATCCACTTCTTGCACCCTGTGCGTAAAAACGGAAACGTGGTCCACAAATACTTGGACCGAGTAGCGGAACAAGAGTTCCCAGATCCAAAGCTGGAAAGATTTGGAACTTCACGGCGATTTGCCAAATGCCAATCCCGTTTTTGTCCTCACCACAAACACACGGAAGACTGTAGAAACTAAGACAACAATCGAATGCGCACGTCCCTTGCGTTGGGGATAGTGCCGCTAAGGTCCCTGAAATGGACCAACATTTTGGCAATGGACGTCACTTGGTTGGCTTATGACCTCAGAAAGATCGCGAATGACTTGATGCCGTGGAGTGGGGGGAAAAAATGCAAAAGCGCCATTGAAGTATATTAAAAGCAGAATTTGCACGAGCCCAACAACCGATGATTCGATTGGACGCAAGAAGCAATGGTGGCCATGCTGGGGCTGGCTATTGATGGCATGGATGGACGGACCTTGCAGGGTTGGCCGGAGAAGCATTGCCTCCACGTGCCCCCCTCTTATTTCAACAGCACTGGTCTGCCACTAAACAGCCGGATCACGGAAGCTGCCCCCGAAGCCCCCCCGGCCTTCGGGCGGCCGGAGCCTGCGTCTGCGCCTGAAAAGCGTGCGCCTCCCACCCGCGCAGAGACGTTTTGCAGTTTCGGCGGATCGCCCCAGGTCCAAGATCTGAATTACCTCCTTACTGCGCTAGGGAAGCAACTATATAAGCCAAGGCTTGGGTCCAAACCAAAAGGCTCGGGCCTTTAGCAAGGCCGGGGTATGCCTTGATTCTAGGGAGGGCGCCAAGAAGAACGCCTCTAAGCCCGGCACCTTCCTCCACGGCTTGCAACTCAAGCTTCCTGAACTTCTCGCGAAGCTCCGCCTGAAAAAGCAGAAAGGACGGGAACGCCGGACGCCCAGCTCACTGCGTCGCTTTGGCTAGATACTCGGTTGGTAGTATCAATGCCTACGGATCGCATTATTCCCTCCTGAGCATTTGGCCGGTGGAAACAGCGCTTTCCGTGATGCCCAAAGTGAAACTCCCGCCTATTACCATCAACGTGTTTCGGCGGATGCTTGTGGTTTCACAAATCAACATGGGCCAACCTACTGTGGGACTCCCACTTCAGCCCAAAGAACACGCTAGGATGGGCCCACAAGGTGAAGCTTGAACGACCCCAAAATAGCAATCTAGTTGGACCGTCAGGGTGTCTATTGCAGTTCTCTTTTCAACAATATGTAGAGCATTTGTTCCTCAATATTCGCAGGGAGAAGCTTATATAAGCTACTTCACCCACTCTTCGGTGATTTGTGCTCCACCCGATCATGCCAGGTTGAACGCATGTATTTTTGGCTTGCCATACTGTACCGATGCACATGCTCAATAATGAGCCCTGCACATTCGACCAAGGGCCAGGCCTCCATGGTTTCGTTTCCTGCACCTTAGCGACCTTCAGGAGGAGCCTTGTCGAGGGTGCACAGACAGGGCCCTAAAAGTATTTCATGCCTTAGCCCGCTGGCAGCCCCGGATCGGCATACGTCGACTGCATTTCGGTCATCTTTCAAACTGCGCAACGCATGGCTTGCCATTCCCACTGGAACTCTTGTTGGCACCATTGGGCATCACAGACCAACGGAAGCACCGCAATCTCCAGAGGTGCTGCAGCTCACGCTGCCTGAGTAGGTTCTGTCTCCGAACGTAAGGTCCTGCTCCGAGGACTCCTTTCTCCGTGACACCAGCAGAAACACCAACATAGGCATGCCCGCCGACCTTGACCCTCTCCGAAATCTGCACATCTCCCCTCGCACCAACCCCCGCACTCGCATGCATGTTTATGGAATACCCGGAAAAGGCATAGACTTCACTGCTGCAGAGGAACGAACGGCCTTTAATGTGTGCACAGCTGACTGCCGAACATCACCCCCTGAGGTCACTTCATTCCACAAGTCTCAGGCAGCTTCAAAGATTGAAGCCGCTAGTAGGCCATGAAGAAGAAGGCTTGCGCGAAAGTTCATGTGCTGCAAGGGGCGCAACGGAAACACCAACTCAGTCGCTCCCAATCTTGAGGCATGCTGAGGTCATCTGAGGTCCGAACACACAACAAAGGCATGCATACGCCAACTACTGATTCCGTCAAGAAGCTGCCAACTGCCAACCCTTCACATGAGAGGAAGGCATGTCTTGTATGTGAGGCTGGCACGGTGCGGCACTTCGTGTCGAGGACCCTGGAACACGCGAGCATTTACAAGCACAAGGACCTCAGCAATTTACATGAACTTGCCCGGCAACACTGCATGGGTTTATGTATATACATGAGATGTGCATCTGAGGGCATTTGTGATAAGTCATTGGTACCGGTCCGACATTTGGCAGCGTCTTTGAGAACATTCCTACCTCCGGGTTCAGAGCTTGATTCGGAACTTGTGCTGTTTCCTGGGTTCACGCGGGAAAGCCCACGCCAAGCAAAACCCACCACCCACCGAGCCCGCGAATCGGCATCGCCTCCACCTTGGCGCTGGAAGCTTTCAGCCGGCTCTCCAGCTCGGTGCTCTGCGCCGCCACGGCGTCCTGCGCAAACTTCCTGGCTCGGAGTCACGGAGCGGTATGGGGGATGGACCACTGCCTTCCCCCCCGGAGAAAAAAACACGGAAAGTGAGTTTCATGGCCCAGTTTCAAGTTGACGCGAAGAAACCCCCAAGAGGTCGGCTCTTTTTTTGGGGCAAATGAGAGCATCAAAGACTGTACAATCAAAAACAAGCCCAGGCGATGGGATTGGCCATGGCGAAAGGACGACGGACGAGTGATCACCTCTTGGAGCCATGACTATGGAAGGAAACAAACGGAAAGGTCAAAAGGCCGGCTAACAAAGTGGAATCCCAAACCGGGGGGCGGGGGCGGAGGGAACTTGTCAACGGGAACTTCGGATTGCATGACCTCCGGAAGTCTATGATTTGATCCTTTTCTGCAAGCATCTTTCAGAAGGGCACACGCATGAGATGTTCCTCCACCAGTGCTGCCCCACACATGACATGGATAGCGGACAACGCTCTGCACCCCCACGATGGCCTGCAAATGAGCTATAGGCTACAACCAAGCCCACAGTGCCCATACAAAATCACACACTCGGCCAGGTTCCAAGAATTCCCTGATAGAGTAAGGGGCATGCCCGTCTAACAGTACGGCTTTGGATCCCTCTTGCTAACTTGGCTGGGAAAGTCATGCTTGGGAAACTCATGCACGCTGATAGGCTGAGGTTTCCCTTAGCCCTGCTATATGTGTCCTAACCTTTTTAACCGCTTCAAGTTCCCTGGAAGGTGTTGTGACATGACTTCCCCGTTGGCTGAACAAAGCCACATATTCAATGCCCCAACAGACATAGGTCTCGCTGCGCGCCGGTTGCGCGTAGTCCCTAGGCCCTACTTTCTGTGTTTCCCCTCTCCCTCTCTCCCCATCTCTCCGTTTCTCTCTCTGTCTCTTTCTCCTCTGTCTCTGCCTGTGTCTTTGTTTCTCTCTTTCTTTCTTTTTCTCTCTCTCTCTCTCTCGCTGTTGGTTTCTCTCTCTCGCTATCTCTCTCTCTCTCTCTCTCTCTCTTGCTCTATCTGCTGACCAGGCGCTTCACGTCTCCCAGCACCTGCAATGAGCGAGTGCCTTTAGACAACTCCCACTACTATTTCTTCAAGGATGACGGAGAATGACAGTGTGCTTCGAACACGAAGATGGGAACTGCCACTGTGCGCAAGTTGCAGGGCAAATTCAATATTCTAGGGGTACCTTCCATTTCCATTCTTTCCAGGGATCCGGATCTTTCTAGTGAACCTCCGGAAACCCAGGGAAAGCGGCCAGTTTTTGGAAACGATGGTTGAAAGGAATGGCCCATAGGAATCGTGGCAGTTGTGGCGCTTGCCACTCCAAAATGCCGGTCTGAACGAAGAAAGGACGCTCACCTATCGCTTCGGCAATTCTCGAAACATGCACTCTGAAGGCGAGCACTTGAGTCACTTGAGTTGTTCCCAGCAGTCGGTTGGATATATCACAGCAGTTGGGTTGGAACATGTGCCGGAAAACCCACGGGTCGTGTTTGCTTTGCGCAGCACAGCGAGCGAGGGGCCCGCAAGTTGGGATGGAGGAGCCAAGCCACGGCCTGCAAGTCCAAGGTGGAGGACTCGCGCAAGGTTGCGAGCATCTGGCTCGTGTCCTCACCGATGCTTCGCTCTTGGGCTCAAAGGGGCCTCTTGAACACATATGTAGACACTGTTGCTGTTGCCCTAAATTCACAAAAGCCCCTGGTCACGGCGTTGCGAATCCACATCTGTTTGCAACTCTTCAGCCAGTGCCGGCCTGAACCGATACGCTCTAAGCATGCGCGTTGGTCACGTCCGTTTGGCGGCGGTACCCCCTTCAGGTGTTAAGCTCAAGAGTGAAGCACTCCACCCGTCCTTAAAGCCCGCACCTGGCTCCAGCTGAACAGCAAAAATGGGAGGCAAACGAGTTGGATGATCCACAGAAATCAAGGTGTGTGCTCATTGGTTACTTAAGACTTCCAAAGCGGCCAGTTGACCTGAATTATTGGAGTTGCATTCAAACCGCTGCGACGGAGCATGGATAAAATCATTGGCTTGGATCTGGCCCAGGGTGATCCAGCCAGTCCTTGATCTGACCTTGACTTGACATCTGCAGAACACTGTGGTTGCAACCTTTTTTCCGGAAAAGGCTCAATACGTGAAACCAATACTCAGTTTGCCCCTCTCCGACCGAGCTGGTCCATGGGGTGAGCTCCTCAACTCGCCCAAGTCTTCCCTCAAGCTGGATCTCCAGTGTCCAAGACGCAGCGTGAGCTGGACGACATGCCAAAACCGGCAAGGCTGCGAAACCCCAAGGTACTGGCGATCAAGTCGCCCATCCGAGTGAAGCAATGCTCTTGGTCAACCTGGTTATAAATCCGTGGCCCGCGGTTTTCCCAGGTGGCTCCCAACGTCCAGCCTAGTTGCTCACACTCCGCCGAAACGTCGTTGAGGCCTGGGTTTCAAGAATGGGCTGGCAGAATGCCTGCTGCACGCTCTTAGCCGAAACTTGCAAGTATGCTGCCAATTCTGTGTTGGACTGCTTAACCTAGATAAAGTTGTTGATTCTAGCATTAGCACGCATTAGCTACAGTAGCAGAAGAACAGGAAGGCAAGCAACACGTGTTGACATACAACACGTCTCAAGCAAAAGCAATTCCAAATCCAACCTGGCCGCATACTGCACGTGTGTGTGTGTGTGTGTCTCCTTCTTTGACTTGGTTTCCGACACATAAGTTTGCTCTACAAAGGAGCGATTGCTGCTCACGTTGCGCGCTCGCCGGCTTTTGGACTCTGCGCTCACGCGTCACGAGGGAGGGTCTTGCGGCTGGAACATGCGCGCGCAACACGCTCCTTTGGCATTTTGCCACTCAGCCGAAGCCAATTTCTGAAGCCACCCAATTTGCCCGGCAAAATGCAACACGCATCGGTCACATTGTCTACACCCAATTCGAGCATATTGTTTGCGGAGCGGCTCTTGACTTTCTCCAATGCGATTGAAGCTCTCTGGGTGCTATAGGGGATCTTGGCAAGTTAAAAGCAGCTCTGAAAAGACTGGGATCTTGATCCACGCCCTTTTGGCGTCCTTTCGTATTCTCTTGGAACATCACAAGCATTGCAAGCATCCGGCAACTGCCGGCATCCCTTGACAGTACACACTGCAAAGGCTCAAGGTAGGTGTCCTTCTGGAACAAAGTGATGACATGGTAAATGTGTAGAACCAAACTGAACGTGGAATCCATTTCAGCCAAGCTGACCTGAATGCCCCTTTTGGCTCATGTGTCGAGCGGGCACTTGTGCATTTCAGTAAATCCGGCCACGGCATGCACGGCTTTCGCAAAGGCAGCTTTGATGACGCACGCCCCCGGAGGGGCTCAGTACTGCCTCGGGGGGCATTCCGTAGTCATACCGCAGCTCCTGACAAACGTAAACAGAACCAGCCTCTGCATTTTGGTCACCCAAGTGAGTCATAATCAAACCCGGCTGTTCAAGTGGTCCACCCAAAACTATGTAAAGAACCAAAGGGCGGACAACCAAGCCCGTGAACGCGGCTGCAGAGAGCCTGAAAGACTCAAAGTCATCAAATCACCGCTGTTGCTGCAACATGCGTTGCCCCAGTGTTTCGAGTAGTTGATGACTTTCTGCATCTACTCTTGAGGGGGGGGATCTGTAGCAAGACAGGCAACAAAATCTATCATGAACTATCAGAGCAAGGCCCCTTGGGAACAAAACCTGCCGCTTCATAACCTACGCGAGGACTCGGCCATCACCCTGGCAAGCACCACATTGGACTGGCAATGAGCAGAACAGCGCTCGACATATCTCACGCAGGAAAACAACCTGAGGCACCCAACGTGCCCATTTTTTAGGTACGAGAAAAAAAACGCTCGAATTACCGATTTCTGCTCGACCCCGCAAAAAACGCTCGCACCCCGAAAAACGCTCGACCAAGTCCCTTCTTCCATCCAGAGGACGGCCGGCATTGTTACGCTTTTTGAATTTGCACTCGTTTGCGGATATGTGCGCTCGTTTTGCGGATATTTGCGCTCGTTTTGCACTTCGAATTCTGCTCGCTCCTTTCGAAAATTCAGCGACCGATCATCTTGGAGTGCGAAACTATATGCAGCTTTGGTCCACTTTTCCACGGCTGTCGGTCACATCTGGATTCTACACAGGCCTCCTTGACACCCCCTGCTTGTCAGGGTGGTGTCACGCCCGAAGAAGTGCCAACTGATGGCATCCATCGGCGAACCTCATGTTCATGAGTTCCACCAACGCTTTATTTTTGCCGGCATCCAAATGCTTGGTGCCAACATCGGCAGGGTTCACAGACGTCCCCACCTTACTCAGTGCAATCTCGCCTTCCGCTATCCGTTGTTGCAACCAAAGGTAGCACCGACTGATGTGCTTTGCTCTTCCATGCCCGCGTCTGCCCAACATTGCCTTCGCAGCTGTAGCGTCAAACAAGAGTTCTGCTTTGAACGTCAATCCAAAGTCCTGCATTGTTGCAATTGCACCCAAAAGAGTTGCTCCGGCCTTTATACCGGCATAGAATTCCGACTCCACAGATGAGAGCGATATCACGTGTTGCGTTGTCGAATAAAATTTCAGCAAGTGCTGCCCATGAAACAATGCGCCACTCGATGTCGACTTCCTCGTGGAATGGCACCCAGCGTCGTCAGAATCCGTGTGCATACGAAGCTTGTCCTGTTCCATCTGCTCGTTGTAAACCCAAACCAACCTGGGCCGTCCACTCAAATAACGTACCAACCGTTTCAAGCCCTGAAAGTGGCTCTGTCGTGGCTTCTGCGTGTTCCTGGCCAGCTCCTTCGATGCATAGCAAATGTCAGGTCGGTCAAGAGCCAGGTAATTGCACCGCATGACCATACTCCTGTATCTCGAAGTCTCCACCGCTGAAAGTTCTGGACTGTCGTCCGCACTGCAACTCACACCGGGGGTTGTCCCCAAGACCAAGCTCGCTCTTCAAGATTTGCACGTGCCTTGGATCCGCCTCCACTGTGGTTTCGTTGGCCCCGAAGTGAATAAGCCTATTCAGCAAACTCACATCCTGCACATCTGTATCTAAATCGGGTCCAAGCATACCCCCAAACTTCAGTTCATACCTGTCACTCAACCGCTCACGTAACCATTGCAAATTGTCTTCAAATCCCAATGAAGTGATGTCATCCCCATGAATTGAAACTTGTAAATCCCTCGTCATATTCACAAACAGCACTGGGCTTCCCAATCCCGGCGTGAAGCCATTGCAGGTAAAGAAGTCTGTGATCTCAATCTCCCAGCATGCCGCCGCATCACGACACCCATACATTGCTTTGTTCAACCGGCCACAAACTCCTTCCGGCAAGCCTGCTTCCTCTGGGAGGCACACGTAAACCTTCCGGTAAACGCGTGCTGTCCAATGCGCCCGTCTGATGTCAATGAACATAACCTTCTTCCGCCGCCCTTTACGATCCGTAGCTGCACCTGTACGCTGCAAACTCAAAAGCATCCGGACCGATTCTAAAGGTGGTGTGGCAGCGAAAATGCTTCTATATGAGCACTGCGGACTTCCTGAATGACAAGCCTGCTTCTGTAGTTCGGCCGGGCTTCGTCGCCCTTGTTCAAGTCAAGCCAGCGTGAACCGATCGGTCCTGTGCCAGTCTCCTGGTAGCACTCAGAAATGGGTACAGGGGTCCACACTTCATACCTGGTCGCGAAGTCAATTTCCTCCGCGCGTGCTGCCCGAACTCCTTCCGTGGACAACGGCTTCCCCGATGACTCATCAGTAAACGTCAACCAGTCCTCCTCCAAGGTCCGATCATCCACAACCAAGGACAGGTCGAGGTCCACCTCCTCATTCGTCGGCCCACACTCCAAGGAGCTCATAGGCTTCATCTTCTTCAGCTGTCGCTTCAGTCCCCGCAAAATGCTCTGAAGCAACTTGTTCGGATAAACCTCACACTGCTTTGCTTTGCCACCAAGCAGTGGCACATGCCTGTGCCACTTTTTTCCTGGAACCAGGTGGTAATACACCGTCTCCACTTCTTTGCAAGTTGCTGGCAAAGTGAAATGCAACATATCCGGCGTTGCTTGCTGCACATCTCTCAGATCTTGAATAACCTGCTCGTTTGTAACGTCCAGGATGACACGTCTCTGCACATTGCTCCACAAAAATTGCTGCTTGGGAAACTCCCCTGCCCTGCCCACATCACAAGTGCGGAATCGAAAGATCTTGAGCGCATCCGGCTCATTGCTGCACCGCCTTTCCAACTCATTTGCAATGCACTCACTGTTTGTCAAATACCCAGTGGTCTTCTTGCAAAAGCTTCTCCGTGCTCGTCTCTGATCTTAAGACCGGTCGGCCTGCAATTCGAACCATCGAAGGCGATTCCCATGATGTAGCATTAGCAGGGTGTTCATGCACGAAAAACTTCCTCCTCATCATCTGAGCTTCATACTGCTCTGCACAGCAATCTAAATGTTGTTGGGCCTCCTCCGCATCCTGCTGCTTCTGCACGGGATCCCCTTTGTTCCGATTCAGGAACTGGGAGTGGTGAATACATTCTGCATGGGGGGCATCCTAGCAGCAAGTCTGGGCTTAAATCCGCAATCTTCTCATTTGCACGTTGTCGGCAATCAGCCTTGGAGAACTCCCAAGGTTGTCCATACTCATCCATCACCGTCTCAGGTCTAGGGCTAGACCGTCTCCTAATCCTCTCTGCTGCGCATAGCGGGTCAGGCGAGGTGGCGAGAAAATCTCCGCCAACACCGGTTCTTTGCACTGATACGCATCTCTGACGGATACACCGCCGATCTGCAACAAAACTCGCATCTCCTCCACCTTCTCATTTAGCCTCAGCTCCGCTGTCTCGTCTAAGCTGATGCTCCGGGTCAGGGCACCGTAGTCCGCCTTTGTGGTCAGCGAGCCCAAATCCATTTCTCTCACGCCCGTTCTTTCTCCTCCTTCAGGACCTTGATCCACCGCCATTGCACCACCATCTCCTCCACCTCGATCCGGCGGGGGGGTTGGTGATGGTGCTTGGGCTGCTTCACCAGCTGCTGCCTGCTGTCGCTGTCCTGATGAGCTTGCAGGCTGCACATCACGTAAAACATCTCCCGGGCCACTGCGAAGAACCTTATCTATTTCTTCGCCTTCATCAGCAATTCTCACACGCCGCGGGGCCGCTGCTTTCGGCTCTTCCCCGCTTGCCTCTGACCTCCTCTTCTCAACCTTCTCACGCTCTTCACGGTCATGGTAGGCCACCATGAACTTCTCTTCTCTCTGTTTCACCTTCTCCACACGTTTCTTACCTTCGTCACTCTTCTCCAATTCTTCAGCAATCCTCTGCTTGCAAGCTCTGCTATGCTGCCGATGCGCCAGCCCATGTCGGGCTGCCTCGCAACCGTCGCAACCTTCTGTATATCCAAATTGCTGAAGCTCAACATCTCTCCGGATGTACAGGCCACGAGGAACGTAGCCTTTCTTTTTCTGCTCCACCAACGGTGCTGCTGCTGCCGCTTCATCTCCTCTGGGCTCCAGCTCGATCATCACGTCCTTCTCCGGGGAGGACGGGGACATTGCTCCTCCTCCCTCTATGGGCTTAGGCCGAAGCTGCCACGGTAAGCCAATCACCTTGTTCAGCTCCTCCACCACCCATTGCTCCGCCGTGGGCCGCCTCTTGATAGTCCAACTCCGCTGCACTCCTGAAACTGTGCCCACCCAGCGCAAACCCGTCCCTTCTTGCAGGCCCAGGTAAATGCCAGGTAAGAACAAGGCCTCCATCTTGCTTCCTTGGTGCTCTCCTTTCAAAGGCTTGAAGAGCACACATTCCCCAAACTCAGGCAGCTGAATTGACCACTTCTTGCCCACAGACCTCTCATAAGGCGTCAGACCATCTTCGCCCCTGTTGAACCGTGTGATGAGCGCCCCAGCATAGTCAACTAGCCAGCATAGCACCGGATGTCGTGCAGGAATCCTCACCTTATAGTGATCCTCAAGCGCGCTCCTCAAAGTCCGCGCCACTCCTTCAATCCGCCCAATCGCATTCCACCTTTCACCGCATTCTCAAATCCCAAACCTGGGAGCTTCTCCTGCACCGCATTCCTGAGCGCCACAATGGACACCTCCGTGTCGCTCTTCAGGAGCCCGTCTTGAGCTCCTAGACACCTCAGGAGTTTCACCACCACCGCCACATTGTATTGATGTCCCACACCCTTACAGGGCATAGACAGGGAGAAAACACGTTGGGTCTTCTCATCCAGGATTGCCAGTAGCGGCAGGGCCTCTCTTGCTCAGGGATCCGGGATCTCCTTCTACTCTTCTCATCTTCATCCGCTGCAAGGCGAAGATGTGGCTTCGCACGTCCTCGTCCTCGAACGCAGTGGACACACCAAGACCGATACGGCATATGCGAAATCATATGGTCTTGGATCTCTCTCGCGCTAGGCTTCACTGGGATGCTCTGTGATGCCCTCGCTCCTCTCTCCTCAAATTCGCCATGCAGCTCTTCCACCGGCAGATAGTCGCTTTCTGCGCTGTCCACTGCACCTCCATGCACTGCTGGGTGATCCAACTCAAAATCTCCAATTGGCTGTTCACCTTCCTCCAGGAACCTTTCGGGCTCATAGAGGTCAGACGCACCATCTTCCACCTCCGAATCTCCAAGCTCGCCTCCGACATCTCCGGCGCTCACCGCAAACACCATAGGGACTGCAGGTGGTCGACCGGCATGATACGGGGGTCTTACAGCTCTGCTGCTCGATGGCCTCAGTAAGGATGAGGGCCACCATGCACCGCCTGCCCTTGAAAATCCGCCTCCGAGGTGAACTGCTGCTTCTCCGGAATCACCAAAAGATCTTGCACGTAGACCCCATCTCGTTGATGCAGCCTCATCCGATTTCCGGTGGAGATCTCCTCAATCCAACTTTCTTCCCAATGAGGACCCAAGATGATCCGGTGCCCGCGATTCGCCACTTGAGCGGCTGACATCAAAACCTTGTGAACTTGGGCCACCGAAAACTCCGTCATCCTGAGCTCTCCTTCCTCCACCATCACCACAGGCCGCACCCGATAGAGTTCCGGAACGACCTCTCCGTTGGCGCTCAGGGTCCAGCTGCTGCGCCTCTTCAAAAGCACCTGGGGGAGCCACCGATGCCGCTGCTCCGGAGTCCACCGTCACCACGATCACCCGAGCGTCTTCTTCTCCTACCCTCACTGTAGGCCAGGATGGCTGCTCAGGTTCTGCTGGTGCATCCTCTCTCCTCCGGCTGCCGCGTCTCCATGGAGGTTCAGGATCTGCCGACTCCTCATCACTCATCTCATCACTTCGTCTCCAGGGAGGCTCCGGTCTTGCTGATGCTTCCTCACTCCTCTGACCGCGGCGCCTCCTCACACTCAAAGCACAAAGGTGCTTAACCACCAAACTCCCGGCACTCACTGGCATTGGAGCTGCAGCTGCTGCTGCGGCTGGGCCTCCTCGGATCGGGGATGTCGGGGGCGACTGCTCCTCCAAGGCCGCTCGAGCATAGTTGGACTGCATTTGCGCCAGAAGCGGATCCCTCGAGTTCTATGGCTCGGGCTTGCTCCAGCACTGATCCTTGGTGTGCCCTGGCTTGCCACAATTGAAACAGCCTCCCTTTTTCTCACTGCCTTTCTTGCCACCTTTACCTGCTCCTTTTCCACCCCCTTTGTCTCCTCCTTTGCCCTTGCCTTTGTTCCAAGTGCCGGGTCCTTGTCCTTTGGAACCACCCTTACCTTTGTCCTTGCCCTTCTTGCAATCTCTCTGCAAATGCGGGCCACCACATATGAAGCATCCTCCACCTTTGACCACACCGACAGAGCCGACATCCATGGTCGACGTTGCCGCAGGGCTGACCTGCTCGATGTAGCCCATAATCTCTTCTCTTAGCTCCAGGTACGTGGTATACCTTGCCGCGTTCATATGCAGATGTTGCTTCAGGGCTGACGGCGCCATGTGTACCAACGCCGCCATCTTCATGCCTTCGGAAACTCGCTCCGACCCCGGCCGTGCCTCATACTGCACAATGAGATTCTCCCAGTTCACCACCTCCGCGGCCAAGCGATCCATGCCGATGTTCGCCTGAGGGTTGGTGATCCTCATCAAATCAGCCCGCTGCCGTCCAATCGTGCTGGGATTGAACCTCGTATTCAAAAGCCGGAATGCTTCATACCCGTTCGGTCTCCGCGCTTGTCGCACCAGGCTGCGAGCTTCTCCAGAGGTGTAGCTGCTGAGGACTGCATAGATCTGCGTGTCCCCATATTGGATCAGCAGAGGATCCAAGGCAGGGAACTTGACCAGCAAATCTGCCAATACCAC